GTCTATAGATCAGAGAAGTGAGGCATGGGGGGCAGCCTATAGATCAGGGTAGTGAGGCATGGGGGGCAGCCTATAGATCAGGAAAGTGAGGGATGGGGGAGGCAGACTACAGGAAGGGTCAGCAAGGAACAGGAAGGTAAAGTAAAAGAAGGAGCAGAAAGGAGAAGGAACAGAAATGAGCAGGAAAGGACAGCAAGGAGCTGGAAGGGACAGCAAGGAGCAGGAAGGGTCAGCAAGAAGCAGGAAGGGGCAGGAAGGGTCAACAAGGAGCTGAAAGGGTCTGCAAGGAGCACAAAGGGTCAGCAAGGAGCTGGAAGGTAAAGCAGCACAAAGGTAAAGTAGAAAGAGCAGAGAAGAGCAGAAAGGGTCAGCAAGGAGCTGGAAAGGGTCTGCAAGGGGTACCAAGGAGCAGGAAGGGTCTGCAAGGAGAAGGAAGGGTCTGTAAGGGGTACCAAGGAGCAGGAAGGGTATGCAAGGAGAAGGAAGGGTCTGCAAAGAGCAGAAAGGGACAGAAGGAGCACAACGGTAAAGGAGCAGAAAGAATCAGAAGGATCACAAAGGTAAAGTAGGAGAAAGAGCAGAATAGGGTAGGAAGGAGCAGAAAGGGACAGCAAGGAGCACAAAGGTAAAGTAGGAGAAGGAGCAGAAAGGGCCTGCAAGGAGCAGAAAGGGATCAGAAAGAGAAAGGAGCAGAAGAGCGCAAAATAAGCAGAAAGTAGCAGAAAGGTAAAGGAGCAGAAGGAGCCAAGGATGAGAGAAGACAATGTCAGAAGAAAATGAAGACTGTGTCAAATTAAGGAAAAGAAAAGGAGATTGGACCAGGAAGGACAAGTGAAGTGAACCCTCCACTTTATTCTGGACACCACATCATAAGGCTTTGGTACCTGGGTCTGGCAGGGAAACTTTGGACCTTCTCATCTCCCCAGGTAAAAAAAAATATCAGTGTTAATGTGTTCACTTTTGAGTGTCAGGAAGCACAGAGTGCCGCTGGGTAGGGGTGTCGCTGATTTGCAAGAGTGGTCAGCTGGCACTCTAAGCCAATCAGTAGCTCCCTATTCATAAAAAAATAAAAAAATTTTATGAACCGGGAACTAACGATTGGCTTAGAGCGTCAACTGACCACTCTAGCCAATCTGCAGCACCCATGCCTGACGTCAATCTGCACTTCCTGACACTCCGTTTCAGAAGCCGAATACCACTGAGCAAACTGGAGATCTGGAGCTGGAGGAATCCTTTGGGGTTAAACCATTTGAGAGCGGTTTAACCTCTTAAAGGAAAAAGAGCACCCAGGGGCTTCCTGGCATCATAATTTTAATTTGCTTAAAGGAACACTATAGTGTCAGGGATACAAATATATATTCCTGACACCATAGCTGTGAAAACGCTATTCACCCTAGCTTAATGTGATAATGACTATGCCCCTTGCCTTTCATGACACTGCCAAAAGGGACTAAGCATGGATGTCATTACAAATATCCCCGCCCCCCCCGGAAAAATTCCTGCGCACGCCCATGCCACCTACTTATATCTCTACATCATCACATTACCCCACACAGGCTCACACACAGGCTCACATTCACAGATTACATATGCAATCACACACATAATACATACATATGCTGTCACAAACACATTTTCACAAGGGACAAGGACAGATATATACTGAAATGCAGTGAGATTTAAAAAAATTTATGGACTACATAGGAGTCTGTGTGCGTCCTGCGGTGAGCTGGCAGCCAGGATATGACGTCATCCTGGCATTGGGATCACTACTGGGCGCGCGAGTGAGCTGTGCAGGAAGAGCACAGAGATCCCAGCCCAGCAGCAACCACTAATCCCCAAGGGGAGGATCCACTCTCTCTCCCAGAGGTTGGGTGGACCTCTTAATTACTAAATGTGTGTGTAAGAATGTTATTTTTGTTTGTATGTATGTAATTATGTGTGCATGTGATTGTGTATGTCTGTGATTATGTTTATCTCTGTCGTTAAGTGTGTGTTTATTGTGATTGTGTGTCTGAGATTATGTGTATGCCTTTGGTCATGTGGCTGTATGTCTGTGATTGTGTGTGTGTGTGTGTGTATTTATATACACACAGACATATGCCTCCGTATGTATATGTCTGTGGTTGTGTGTGTGTGTGTGTATGTGTTTAGTAGATAGCTCCCTAATTTGGGTACTTAAATATGTGATTCCCTCATAAGGATAACAAATAAGGAAATTATCTACTGAACAAATAGTAAATAGAGGAGTTATCTGCTAAACAAAAATCGAAGTTAAGAGGTGTCAGCCAGCCCAGAGCAAGAAATCTGGGTGGCTAACGTCAATTCTATGCAAATGTGTTGTCTGATGCCCACCCACCCTCCCTGTTTTGACTTTGGTATCTTATTTGCATCCACTATATATAGCGCCTAGAGTCGCCACTGCTTCAGGGCCCCTGTTGTGAGCTGCAGTGCTTTAACAGTGTGACCGGACTTCTATAATGGCAGCGCTGGGAGGGAGTGAAAGTCAGTCACTTTCTCCCAGCTAACACTGAGATGTGGAGGGCGGTTCTGCTTGGGAGAGAACCAGAGGCAAAATCCCAACAGCCTCAGCCAGCAGGTAGGAAACAGGAGGATGGCACATGTGCCATTGTGTATCTGTATGTGTGTATGTGTGTATGTGTGTTTGTGTCTGTGTAGCTGCATGTGTGTCAGTGTGTGTCTCTGTATCTGTGTGTGTTTGTGTGTCTGTGTATTTGCATGTGTCAGTGTGTATATCTGTGCATACATCTCAGCATCTTGCCAACACTACACACAAGCACACCACTGCATTCAAACAACACAACAGACAAACACACCTCTGTATCAAAACCATCTCCATTATATATAACCACACCACTGCATCTCGACCAACACTCCACACAAATGCATGCCTGCATTATTATTATTATTATTTTATTATTTATACAGGGCCATCAGATTCCGTAGCACTGTACAAAGGGTGGACTAACAGACATTTAATTGTAACCAGACAACTCGACGTACAGGAACAGAGAGGTGGAGGGCCCTGCTCAATGAGTTTACATTCTAGAGGGAGTGGGGTTTAGTGACACAAAGGGTAAAAGTAGGGGTACGAAGTAAGTTGTTAGAAAAGTATTCGCTGAGAGCTTAATAGGTAATTTTTGACAGTTGCAGGAGAGGAGTCATGGAGGGAGGGGGATGAAAACCTGCTAACAGTTTAATTGGTATGCTTTCTTGAAGAAGTGAGTTTTCAATGATTTTTTTGAATGAGTGGAGACTGGGTAAAATTCTTATGGAGGAGGGAAGGGAGTTCCACAGAAGAGGTGCAGCCCTGGAAAAGTCTTGGAGGCGAGCGTTAGAGGTGGGAGTACGGACAGAGGATATACGTAGGTCTTTGGCAGAGCGTAGGGGCCTCGACGGGACATACTTGTGTATTAGGGAGGATAGGTAAGTTGGAGCAGCATTATGTAGGGACTTGTAAGCAAGCACCAGAATTTTAAATTGAGCCCTATATCTAACTGGGAGCCAATGCAGGGATTGACAGAGCCGGGAGGCGTGGGAGTTGCGGGCGGACAGGAAAATGAGCCTTGCCGCCGCATTCATTATAGATTGCAACGGTGCAATCTGGGAACACGTAAGACCACTAAGAAGAGTATTGCAGTAGTCCATTCAAACACCAACACTACATACAAACACACCCCTACATTCACTCAAACATTTCCCATACAAAAACATGCTTACATTCAAACGCACAAACACTGCTAAGTGCTGCATACATTTAAAAAAATGTGGGTGTTTTTTATATTTTAAAGAGGGGAAGGGGGGGCCATTAAGAGGTGACAAATGATTTGGGGACGTCCCTGGCTCAACCTTCACCTCTTTGACATTGAGGGCATAGGAGATGGATTCAATCTTTGGTTTAACCTGTCAAAAAAATAAGTGATTCTTTTATTCTAGTATTATGTTTAATACACATGATATAGAGAGAGAGTATGTGTATAGCTAATGGTGCATAGTTTTTTTATTCTACGCAATGTGTCTGCACAACAGCTTTTCATTTCCCAAGAACATTTCTGAAAGCACCTTTCTAAAAATAATTCTGCTGTTATGTAGTAATTCTCGCGGACTACATTTATGTATAGAAAGCCAATCTGCTTCAAGTGATGGCAGTTAGAACTGTTCTATATTTGGATCAACTACTGTTTTACGAGAAGAGTTTTGTGACACACATTTATATATAATATATGCTATTATCATAAAGAGGGATTTATATATAATATAATTTAAAAAAAACATGGCATACATGCATGGATCTTGACTTGTACTGAATTAAAATTAAATTGAGAATTCTACATCTTTCAAAAATAAAAACATTGAAATATATATCTACTAAGTAAAATAGATTAATTTATAAAGTATATAACAAACGATTAAAAAAGATTAATTTAGCTTAACAATGCAACGTTGGACAAATGGGACAAATGGTTTACTGTTTGTTGTGATAGTAACTTGGGTAATAAAACGCAATATATAAACTTGGATTTTTCTATGTATGGACTTGTCCATTGTTAGACTTGAATAGTTTTCAGTACACAAGACATTTTGCTGTTGATGGTGCTCTTGTGACATGTTTCTCTTGCGCTACAGAAGCTACCCAACAACTGTTGTGATGTCATAGTGACATCTCTGTAACAACTATAATTACACCAGTTATCTGTTGCCATGGACACCAGGATGTTTTGCCAGCCACCTGGTCTCTGAGGAAGAAACTGGGAATTGTCCATCCAAAAATTTTAATTAGGTAAAATAACTATAAACATTTTGGAATCTTTTAAAACGTATAGTAAAAGGTCTGTTCACTAAAGAGCACATTCTGGTGAAGTGATAATCAATTAGCTGAAATAACCATTTTTTTTGTTATAAGTCTGATATTTTTGGATTAAATTTTGCAAGCTATAGCCTGATTTTTAGTGAATTAGAACTATACATTTCCAGTATGTGCTATAGTGAATGTGTGCCATTATTCCAACAGACATATGTATTTTCAGTTTAATCAATGTTGGTGGCATTGTTTCATATTTGATATTTCTCTGTGGGTGCCTGTTAATTATGCCCCTACGGGTCGCTGAGGATTCCTGTCACATTGTCCGTAGCTACTCAGCTTTTAAATGCCGGTAGTGATTCAGGTTAGCAGGTTTATGTTTAACATCCTTGTCCTTGCTGTTAGGAATATAAATAACCAGCATTACAGTTTGTAAAATACAAGACATAGACTCATATTTGTAAATTGAATAATAGAGTATGTGATTGTAGTATCTTTTTCACACAGGCCGGCCAATTGTCCAAATTTCAATGGCACAGTCTCTGTTATTTGGGTCCTATCCCACTGTCCTGACTTAGGCTTTAATTTAATAAGCTTTCCAAATGATTCAATATAGTTGGAAACATTTCTAAATGATTTATCTACAAAAATTCCCATAGACTTTAATGGTGACTTCAGTTAATAAATCACTTGGATTTGTTTCCAACAGTATTAAAACATTTGGAAAGCTTATAAAATTGAGGCCTTGGTTTCCCGGTGTCTTTCTTTTGGGAACAAGCATACGCTCATATATACGGGGCACTAGGACCTTGCAGGGAGAACAGAAATGGTTCTCCCTGCAGGGTCTGCCCCCAGTAGGCTGGTTTGAATGATGTACAGGCCAGGCGGGTGTGCCTTCACAGCAGTCTGACCTGCCAGTAATTCAGGTGGACCTGCCCCTTTTCTAGGTGTACCTACCCTCATACGATCGGATCACTGGCCTGCCCTCTTACCTCCCTCCCCTGGTAGCCCGATTCTATGGAGTTGGGAGGTATGCTCATTATACTAATAGCACTGTCAAAAACTTAACTAAAATGAAGGCAATCAAAATATATTTTTAAAAGGTCAGTATAAGCTCACAAACAACTTGAGCTTAAGGACGTGGTTTTGGTGTATCGGTCATGTACCTGCAGCCTCACTGCCATTTAGGAGTTAAATTACTTTTATGCAGCCTTAGCTATACCTATCCTGGCTTTGACTCACATAGCTTATATACATACTTCCTAAATATCTGTTCACTTTTAGCTTATCTTAAAGGAACAAGCTAATGTTAGGAATACAAACATGTATTCCTAACATTACAGTGTAACACTAGTTATTTGAATTATTTACCACCACCACCATGTATCCATTAAATTAAAAAAATGCTTAAAGGTGGCTGAGATCACCATTACCATACGCTAGCGTTCAGGAGCATCCTCATAGAGATGCATTGATTGCATTAGACATCTGTTGTATGATGACAGATGCCCAATATGCACATAATTCACATTAGTCAGCCTGTAATTCTCACCAAACTGCTATATCTCTGTATATGCAGTGCTTCAAGCTGAAACAATACACATACAGACTCCAAACACCAAGACCACTTCAAATTACTGAAGTGATCATGGTGCTTGGAGCAATCCTTTAAACAATGCTATATCATTTTTTGCCCATATTTATTTTCATGTATAGTTTTATAGTTTCCAAATGTGCTTACTTGTTGGAAAAATATTTTAATTGTGTAATATTTTGAGGTTATTTGATATATTTTTTATATTTTGAAAAAATCTTTTGGAAAGTTTATCCAAAAATATTTATTCATTTGAAAAGCGTATCCAAAAATATTATATTGAGGCCTATGTCTACAATGCTTCTTTGTGAGAAGTATTTGATTGGAGATTTCCTGGTAAGAACAAGGAAGTCGGTGCTGAGCAAAAAGGTTGTGGATCAGTTTAGCTGCAGAACTCATAAAGAGAGAGGATTTTATGAAAATAAATTTGATGCGACTCCACACACCAAGACCACTTCAAATCACGCTTAATGTAGTGGTTCTCATGTCTACTGCCTGTCCCTGTTTGCTTTTCACTATAAACAGGGTTAATATTACTGCTTAGTAACACTTCTAGTGGCAGTCACTACGACTATGTCAGTGCTGCACTGTGCTCTGAATAGAGATGTGGAACGCTTCCCATAAAGATGAATTGCTCAAATGCATCTGTAATGGTATTTATTAATTAATGACTTTACATCATAAAGAAAGCATATTTAGTGTAATGCTTTGGGGGCACCACTAGGGGGATTGTGTAGGAAGACATGTGCTTCTGGCAGTGACATCACAGGCCAGCCTACTTACACTGAATAAAAACCAGATGTAGGGGAAAAACTCTGTCCCTTTGCCTGTAACTGACTGAACCTAAGATGTAGTACCAGCTCTGACTTAACCCCAGCCAAAGGGCTGGGGCCTTGTAAGTAAAATGAACATTTAGCAATTGTAATAGCCTTTTGTGTAACATTTAGCAACCTTTTGTAAGTAATATGTTGTAGTTTTGTATTGTATCATAATTGTAGTAAATTGACATTCTGCTAGCATCTGTTTATTTGTTATAGTTATATTAAATATACATTTAATATTACAACGTTTTGTGTATTTTCTATCCACATATTCGACCATAATACCATGAATTATAAAAATATTAATGTTGTTCCGTATTGCTTAATTATTATGTATTAAGAGATTAATATTCATATTTAGGTCACGACCACAACATTTGGCGTAGTCGGCAGGATTATGCTTGAATATTGGGGAAAATATAAATGTTATGCATTTTGCTTAAATCATACTGTAAATTGTCTGTCTGTATACAAATGAATAAATGAATGATGATTTGGTTTTAATGGAATGAATGCAGATAGCAAATAGGGATTAGATATTTGTTTTTAATGTATCTCTTGCTGTAGAACATAGTGATGAATTATTGTGTTGCTTGTCACCAATCTTTGGTCATTTGCATATAGGAGAAAACTTATATATACTTTACCTTTTGTCTGACCATGTGGATTTTAATCCACCATTGACCACATGGTGTGAATGAGTTGAGGCCTAGTTTCATTGTTTGCTACCATTTGCATAGGAAAAGACTTTTCACTAAACTAGTTCACCAGGTTTTATTGCTAAATTTGACCCTGTTTGTGTACTAATTTACATTTGTTTGGCATTCATGGATTTGTCTAGTAAATTAGTAGTTAAGAAAAAGATACGTTTAGTAAAGCAGATTCAGAGAATAATAGATTTATGTGTGCGTATACACAGAATATTAGTATAAATATATATATGATTTTGACTCATGAAGGAGAGACCACCTTTTTAACAGCTGTGTGACCATGCTTTTCAGCTACAGCTGGGGGAGAATTTGTCCTTGTTGGGGGTGGGTAGTCTTGCTGTATGAGAAAAAATAAACTGCATTGTTTTGTAAATGTAATTGCCTAAACTAATCAATTTGTGGAGTGTTTTTCAGCTTTATTATCCAGGACTAAGGAATTACTGGACATATGCAGGAACTGGTAACAAATGAACTGAAAAAATGGTAAAATAATTCCTTTGTCCTATTTAGTCTGAATATTTTAACAAGTTAGCATTTTTAACAAAGTAAGTGTAGGGGCTCAGATTAAGATTTATATTATTTTAGAAGCCATCTATAACTGATTTTAATATTTCCATGCTTTGAATTAGGGTGTATCTGCCTAGCGGGTGAACCTCCATAACGTGGGCTGTGATTTTAGTTACAGTAGCGGGTGGGGAACCTGAGCTAGGGGGTATTTAAACGTGTCCGGATAAGGGGGAGCATACCCAATAGTTGTTGTGCAGTTCTATCCTGTATTATTATTTGAAACCCTGTATTACTTATAAGTAGCGTTTTGTAACTTATTTGTAATTGTTTATATATATTGCTCTGGGAAAGGGATAGGCAAAATCTCTGAGAGACCAGGAAATATATTTTAAAAAGGGCGTATTACACTAGTGGTAGGGCAGCCTATCATGACCATAGAGACCCTTGGTGACTAGTTTTTGTTGTATATTGCCCTGGGAAGGGGATACGCTATTTAATAGAAATTCCTGAGAGACCAGGAAATATACAATAAGTGATACGTGAGTGTACTGGTTAAATTGCAGACATATTGGCCCAGAACCTTTATTCGAGCTGAAAAAGAGGCTGCTGTATGTTTGCTCCTCCATAATTTTGCGGGGGCGGTCACCCCCATGCGGAAAGCCACTGCCATCACAGGGTGGTTAGTTGTGCAGGCCCTTAGCCGCGAGGTGCAAGCATGTCCGTGGAAAGGCTAGAAATTAATAGGGAGTCACTCATAGCTGTCAGAAGTGTTGAACTTTGAGACATATTGACCTATATCCTTTCAGAGGCGGAAGAGGTGTTGTGGTTCACTCCTCTATAATTTAACCAAAGGGTGGAGAGTTATTAAACATGTTTAGGTTGGCTAGAAATGTGTTTCCTGAATTGCAGAGAAGATGCAGAAAGCAGCTATTAGCTTATTGTTTTTTAAGAGCCTTGTAAAAAAAATAAAAAATTAAGAAAGTTATCTTGTTGAAAAAAATTGTTTATAAAATGAAAAGCTGAAGGAATGTGTTTACATGTCTGTGTGTGTATATATATATATATATATATATATATATATATATATTCTAAGTAAAATATTTGCAGTATACGCTATAAGTGACTAGGAAAGTAATCCTGATCTGTTTCCTAACCTTTTCAGATGTAGCAGAAACCAGAGGTGGACATTGGAACACAGATAGAATATCAGATGGAGACCAGTGTTTAAATGTTGACCTTTGATGAGCTATTGAATGTTTTATTTTATTGTCTATTTAACATGTCTATGCTATGATTTTGTGCATACTATTCTCTTATTTCTAGTGATTGTATTGCAATTGAAACCCTTATGTATTATTGTATGTATGTATGTATGCTTGCCTGGGAAAGGGGGGAATTGACCCATAGGGACCAGGGGGTATTTTTGTGTAAACCAAACTGGGGTGGGAGGGCTCTAACGAGGGAACCCCATTGTCCAGTAGGTGCTTGATTTGTGTCTGTGTAAAGTGCATGAGTGGTTGCAGTTCAAAAAAAAAAAAACAAAAACAAAAAACGGAAGAATGATAAGAGGGATAAGAGAAAGTAGGCATTTTGGGTTATCTATACATGTTTAAATAGAAGGTTGGTAAATAGGAATGTAATTGTTTTGGTTAATGTTTACATTAAATTGGTTAAATACAGCAGTGATAACGAGTGTTTAGATTAAATTGGTAAATGCAGCAGTAATAACGAGTGTTTGGGTTAAATTGGTAGATACAGCAGTGATATT